CAGATGGACCATGGAGGAGCAGAGCTGATCTGCGACAGAAGTCTGAGTGGGCGGTGGGAGCCCTTGAGAGGCTCCTCTCTTTCCTCCCTGCACTTTCTGCTGAGTTCCTAGGGACTCTGGTGCCTTCACACTCACTCACTAGGTGAAATATCAGTTCAATCCAAGTTGCTCAACCCTGAAGGGATAAAGACTAAAATGGGCTGAGATCTTGCTAAGCAGTAGCTTCAGGGAAATTTAGACTCTGTTTAGGGTAGCTAAAACTAAAGCCCAGAACAATAATGCTGGAGCAGGGTGGGGTTCAGATCCAATCTCCTTACTGGAGGCTTTGTGAAAGGAGGCAGTCTTCCTACTTTTCCAGAGTCTTCCTGGGGGTCACGCTACTAGCAGCAAGTCTTCTCTCTGGCTCAGCAGTCAGGTTCTCTGGACCTGGCCCCACACTGAGTCAGGCTGTCCTGCACCGTGCACACCTCGCTGTCCAACTCTGAAGCCTCTGTGAGCCCTGCTGCTCCCTGGGATGGGCAGAGAAGACTGGGACACAGGGCACTGCTCACTGTGAGCTCTGCTTTACCTCTCACCAAACTCTACCATGACCAGAAATAACGCTAAACAGTTTCTGGGATTCAGCTTTTAACAGAAACCACCCAGTAGAGCTCAGCTGGTAAAGAATCTGCCTGCAATGCGGGAGACCTGGGTTTGATCCCTGGGTTGAGAAGATCCCCTGGAGAAGGGAAAGGCTACCCACTCCAGTATTCTGGCCTGGAGAATTCCACTGACTGTATAATCTATGGGGTTGCAAAGAGCTGGACCAGACTGGGCGACTTTCACTTCACTTCACTTCTACACACTGGAGCATCTTTGAAGACCTGTGAGAGTTGCTTTTGTTATTATAATCATATATAATGACCTGCCTCAGGGAATTCTGCCCCTCTGCCTGACTGTTAAACCCACAGGCAGGACATACTGTTTAGAATTTTTAGTAGAGTATAATTCTCAACTACTTGAACCTCATGCTGTGTGGTTCAGTAGAATAGGATTAAAGAAGTAGATTGACCTATCCTTCTCCAGCTGTAAGGAAGTTGTAAACTCAACACAACCTTTTTGAAGAGCAATCTTAAGTCCCCTAAGGGTTCACAAACCCATTGTTCCCCAGGCTTCCTGGGAGTTGGGTTTGTTTTCAAAGACAGAGGTACAGCTTTAATCTGAGTATGGTGAATCCAAGGTTTTATCTCAGGCAATTTGACAGATGAGCTCATGGTGAATAATACCTTGTATGGGCCAGTCTACCTTGCAGTCAGTTGATCCTCAGCCCGCTGTTCTCTCTAGGTTTTAAGTAGGACTCCATCACTGGATTAGAAAAAATGTAAGGCTACTTCAGTTGCATAGGCAGCTGGAAGCTTAGAAACTTAATATTGGATGAAAGGCTTTTACTCTAATATGTGGACAACTGGCTCATAGCTATCCTTACATATGACAAATGTCTAAAAAATACTACCAGAGTCCTGAACTATTTGGCTAATTGTGGATAAAAAGTTTCCTAGAGAAACGCCCAGATATGCAAACAAGGCATCTATCTGGGCTTTGTCCTCTCCCAAGGACAGTGGGGTATTTCACTTGACAAGAAGCAGGCAGTTCCAGGCTTGAGGGCACCCAAGACCGGCAGACAACTGAGAGGGTATCAGGGAATGGCAGGGTTCTGTTGGATTTGGATCCCAAACGATAGGCTCATGTTAAAGCCCCTCTGTGAGGCATGGAAAGGGCACGATCGTGAGCCCTTCACTCAAGGTCAGAGGTTAGTATAATAGAGCAAAACTCAAGAACAGAGGTTTTCATAATGTCCAAAGACTTAACATAATTAGCAAGAAATAGGTATTTCAGAGCATTTACAGATTCCCTTTCTGGTCAGACACTTGAAATGGCTTATCATACAATATTTCAAAGGGGCTTAATTTAAGCCTACTCTTGGAGCCACTCTGATATGTAGCGGGCAACTGACAAAGCCTCATTTCAAGTTAAATTAGTTTATTGACATATTTTACCAATTCTCCTTTTCAATGTATAACTCATTTTCTCAGTTTCCTGTTGGTTGTGGTCTCCAGGATGAATGTCAGTTCCAATCAATTCGCAGTGCTTCATACAGTTGTTAGGGTATGCTAAAGACAAAGAGTAGTTTCTATGCTAACCCACAGGACACAGGAGGCTGGTTTAGTATCATCATCTAAGATCTGACAGGGCATCCAATTAGGACCAGGAACCACTTTTGCAGTAGGGCAATTTCCTTTGTGCAAGTATCCTGTTCTTGTTTTTCAGTTGGTAAGCTGTGTCCAGCTCTTTGTGACTCTGTTGACTGCAACACACCAGGCTTCCCTGTCCTTCATTTTCTCCCGGAGTTTTCTCAAACTCATGTCCACTGAGTCAGTGATGCCATCCAACCATCTCATCCTCTGTTGCCACATTCTCCTCCTGCCCTTAATCTTTCCCAGAATCAGAGTCTTTTCCAATGAGTCAGTTCTTCGCATCAGGTAGCCAAAGTGCTAGAGCTTAAGCTTCAGCATCAGTCCTTCTAAAGAATATTCAGGACTGATTTCCTTTAGGATGGACTGGTTGGATGTCCACCCTGTACAAGGGACTCTCAAGAGTCTTCTCCAACACCACAGTTCAAAAACATCCATTCTTTGGTGGTCAGCCATCTTTATCGTCCAACTCTTACATCCATACATGATTCCTGGCAAAACCACACATTTAACTATAAGGACCTTTGTTGGCATAGTGATGTCTTTGCTTTTTATTTTATTTTTTATTTTTAATTTTTTTTTAGGTAGGCCATCAATCTTGAATGTAATATAGAATCATAAATTTGCAGAGGGAGTGGAAGAATCTTGGGAAAGGATGCAGAGAAGGCACGAGTGTATTAAAAAGGTTTTGATTTTTTTTTTTTACAAAAATGGAAATCATAAATGTACCTGCTCATGGCGCAGGTTTACGTTTCAGTATTTTCCATTTTGGATCCCCATATTAATTTTGAATACTGTTCCTACACATCCTGAAAGAATTTTCAAAATCACAGAGAAGCTTCTGGTGCTATAAGGAAATTGGATCATGAATGCTGGTAATTAGGTGTCATGGAAAGGGCTGGAGCAGGAGTCTAGAAACTTGATTCCAGCTCTTCACCTAATTGTGGTACCTGAGTGTGTCTTTCACCTCTCAGAGTCCTCAGCCATAAAATTAGGAGGTGGGAATGATGAACGTCATTTTAGGTTTGCCAGGACAGAGCTGTTTAAATAGACCTCTTTGGGCCCTGAATATTTTCAGTTTTAGAGATTCTATTACCCTGCTGCTGCTGCTGCTGCTGCTGCTGCCGCTGCTAAGTCGCTTCAGTCGTGTCCAACTCTGTGCGACCCCACAGACAGCAGCCCATCAGGCTACCACGTCCCTGGGATTCTCCAGGCAAGAACACTGGAGTGGGTTGCCATTTCCTTCTCCAATGCATAAAAGTGAAAAGTGAAAGCGAAGTTGCTCAGTCGTGTACGACTCTTTGCGACCTCATGGACTGCAGCCTACCAGGGTACTCCGTCCACGGGATTTTCCAGGCAAGAGTACTGGAGTGGGTTGCCATTGCCTTCTCCGATGTCTTTGCTTTTTAATATGCTGTCTAGGTTTTTCATAGCTTTCCTTCCAAGGAGCAAGCATTTTTTTTTTTTTTTAATATCATGGCTGCAGTTGCTATCTGCAGTGATTTTGGAGCCCAAGAAAATAAAGTCTGACACTGTTTCCATTGTTTCCCCATCTATTTGCCATGAAGTGATAGGATCGGATGCCAAGATGTTAGTTTTTTGAATGTTGAGTTTTAAGCCAACTTTTTCACTCTCATCTTTCACTTTCATCAAGAGGCTCTTTAGTTCTTCACTTTCTGCCTTAAGGGTGGTGTCATCTGCATATCTGAGGTTATTGATATTTCTCCCGGAGATCTTGATTCCAGTTTGTGCTTCATCCAGCCCAGCAGTGCACGTGATGTACTCTGCATATAATTTAAATAAGCAGGGTGATAATACACAGCCTTGATGTACTCCTCCCGATTTGAAACCAATCTGTTGTTCCATGTCTGGTTCTAACTGTTGCTTCTTGACCTGCATAAAGGTTTTGCAGCAGGCAGGTCAGGTGGTCTGGTATTCCCATCTCTTTAAGAACTTTCCACAGTTTGTTGTGATCCACACAATCAAGGGCTGTGACATAGTAAATAAAGCAGGGTTGATAAGGAGTCTGGGGTCCCCGAGAAGGAGAAACAGGTCTGGGGCTCTTGAGGAGGAGAAAAGGAGAAATTTTTTTTTTCCCTACATTCCTTCATCTTAGTCACATAAAACATTTTTTTTTTCTTTAAGCACAGAGCTAATGATTACACAAAGAATCAACTCATCTTGCTCAAGGAGTTTTTCCTTAAACTCTGTAAGAATGATTATGTTACAACAATGTATCCTGCTGGAGGACATGTTTCCCCTTCTTAAGAACCCTCTGAATAATCCTGATATCTTAAAATGTATATTGTGGGTGTGAGTCTGGTAAGAACTTTATGACCTTGAGACATTCTTTTGATTTACTGTAACAACCAATTGGTAAGGCAAGAGGGGGGCACTCTCCGCCCCCTTCTGATGTCTATGTCAGAAGGTTTCTCTGTCCTTTTTCACTGTAATACAACTGTCACACAAGAGCTCTGAGTGATCAAGCCTGGTCCCTGATCCTGAAGCTAAATCCTCTTCTTTGCAGAACACAAATCCAACATCATTCACTGTAAGCTATCAAACATAGGTAAAACTTGTATTCATTATCAGTCACTACTTTCAGGGTATTCTGCAAAGTGTTCCCCTTACTTTGGGAGGGTGGGTGATCTCTGAGCCAGTTGTTCACAGAGATGACTTTGTGACGATATGTGACATCCTGGTGAACTTCTGCATTTATATTCCCAGGTCAGAGGGGTGATTGGGGTGGTTGAAGCCCTATGCTTTGAATCAGGGGTCTTTTCCATAGCATCCTTGAATAACCCTGTCCCTGATCTGTTTGGTTCTAACTCCATAGACGATGGGGTTGAGCACGGGAGGTACCAGGAGATAGAGAATAGCAAACATGATGTGTACCACTCGGGGCACATGATGTCCAAAGCGGTGGGTGAGGAAAGTAAAGAGAGCCGGGATGTAGAAAGCCAAGATGACACAGATATGAGAGGCACATGTGCCAAAAGCTTTGAGCCGGGCTTCACTTGAGGGTAACTGTAGCACTGTTCTCAGAATCATTACATAGGATACACTGATGACAATAACATCAAAGCCAACCACAGAGAAGGCTGCAAAAAGTCCATATGCACGATTAACTCTAGTGTCAGCACACACCAACTTCAGCACAGCCATGTGCTCACAGTATGACTGGGGGATGATCCGATTGGGGCAGAAGCGCATCCTGGACACCATGAAGCAGAAAGGACTCACCCACAGCAGCCCTCTCATCATCACACCTGCCCCCAGTTTACCCACGACAGATGGGGTCAGGACACTAGAGTGATGCAGCAGGAAGCAGATAGCCACGTAGCGGTCCAAGGCCATAGCCATGAGCAACCCAGACTCCACAGAAGAAAAGGCATGGATGAAGAACAACTGGATGAGGCAGGCATGGTATTCAATCTCATGATCGTGAAACCAGAATATGGCCAGCATTTTAGGTTGTGTGGAAGTGGAGAGGACCAGGTCAGTGGTAGCCAGCATGGCCAGAAAGAGGTACATGGGCTCATGCAAGGTGGGATCAATTCGGATTACATGAAGGAGAGTGATATTGCCGACTAGAGCCACAACATACATGGCACAGAATGGAAAGGCAACCCAAAACTGGGAATTCTCCAATCCTGGGATCCCAAGAAGGATGAAGGACACAGGATGAGAAGAGCTGTTCCCTGAAGTCAGCATTGCACTCTAGCTTATATTTCTCCACTGGGAAGGTATCTACTCTCTGCAGGAGATAGCATTAAAATAAATCTTTATTATTATTTATTATATTTGGATATAAGAATTGAATAATAAAGTAAAATTTAATGGTAAAGCAGAATAACTTCAGCTATTTTAATAAGTAAAATTTTGCAATATAAAATGATGCTAATCTGTGTTCATTACGTACATTTATGTTCTTGAATATAGGGTCAGAACACACCACTAGTTGCAACCATGATATTTTATAAGAAACAACATTTTTTTGAAATAAGAATATGTAAAAGGAAAATTGAAAAATAAGGTCATATTAATTCTGTCCCTGTGTTCTAGTAGGAACTGACAACTGATTTGCTTAAACTTTCACATAGGTCATTTCATCCCTGTTGGAAATCCCTAACTCAGGGAAGCAGTTGGTTTACTACACCACAAAGAGGAATCAGTTTCTGGAGGACCCATGCTCTGAGGATGTGGGAAGCCGTGATCTGTCCTTGCTCTTCCAGCCGGGAGAGGGCTCCTGCTTCTCCGAGGGGGGATACATATGCAGCTGACCCCATCATCTCCTTGTTGATATCTTCTGAGACTCCCAAAGCCAAGGATCCTACTGTGTTCTCGAGGCCCCAGGAGGAAGTCCAGTCATGCCTTCCCCCTAGCCCCTCCCAGGACAGGGCTGGTCTCTAGGAAGTGGAGCAAGCACCCTAGCCAAGGGTACCAGGCTGGTTAGGGGCTGAGCCAGGCTTCTACCCCACATGCCCTGTTTTTCTCCGAATTTCATACACACTTGGACTGACCTGTATTGCGAGTGTTCAGAGCCAGAATGTATTTGAATTTTTACATGATAATCCCTTTTTTTCCTTCTATAGAAATACTTAGATGTATACACAGACATCCTGATGAAGTAGACAGAGATCTATAAACAACAGTCTCCGTGCTGGGTCCTCACGCTCCTGAATTAAAACAGCAGCAATACTTGGGTCACTTTTCAAAGTAGGAAGTCACTCTGGAAAAGACTTTGACTTAAAGGACCATAGCAGTGTATTTATTGAGTTAGTTTTAACTCTAAGACAAATGCTGTGAAGATTTCGGTTAGTAGGTAAAGGACTGACCAATTGGGCACCTATAATGGATTTAGTGTATGACTCCTCAGTTGGAGAATCAAATAACTTTCCTTGGTCAAATCATGAATATTTTAGGCTCTGTGGTCCACAGAATCTCTGTTAAACTAGTTAGCATAGGTATTGTAGCATGAAAGAAGCCATAGTCAATATCTAACTTGTGGGTGTGGCTATGCTCCAACAAAACTTTATTTTTAAAACCATGCTGCAAAGTGGAGCTGGTGTAGGGTATAGTTTTTCAATCCTTGTCCTAAGTGATAAATTTCATGAAGTTATCCCTGAGCTGTGCTTTCTTCCTAGAACCCCTGCTTTGCAAAGAAAGGGAATTTAATCAATGTTGACTGAAGAAACTAACAAATAAAGGTCATTATTCAGTAGCAATGGAGCCATGAACCAATTTTCCATATCTTAAAATGTCTGACAGAGCCTTCCACATTGGCTCCAAACCCAGAAGATAGTTATGTCCATTTCTCATACTAGCCGTCGCCCTGCTGGCCAGGGTTTGACTTTGGGAACATCATCCTCTGCTGGTATTTGCTGGTATCACAAGGATTGATGCTTGAGTCTGATCTCACTGCTGACCACTGTCTATCTCAGAGTCAATGGCAAAAAACACACTTGGTTCTTACCCAATATCTTTACACAATTTAATCTCAGTTGACACGAGTCTTTGTTTGAGAGCATTAGCTCTTACTTCCTTCAGAACAGAAAGACATAGTCAAGGAGAGCATCTTTTCAAACTCCCTTTATCAAATCACCTCTGGGTATGGACAAATGTTTCATTCACACAACTCAGTGGTTCCTAAGAAGGGTTTATGCACGATCTGAAATAAACTTAGCCTCTTTCTGATTTTATCTAGATTTGTAACGTTGTGAAAGAAGTGGAACTAAGATCCTAAGTCCTGCTCTAAATTGAAAACTTTACCATCCTTCCTAGATAGTAGATATTTGGGTCTTTCCAGGTGGCTCAGTGGGAAAGAATCTGCCTGCCAATGCAGGAGACACAGCTTCGATCCCTGGGTGGGAAAGAGCTCCTGGAGAAGGAAATGGCAACCCACTCTAGTGTCATTGGCCTGGGAAAGCCCATGGACAGAGGAGCCTGGCAGGCTACAGTCCATGGGGTTGCAAAAGAGTCAGACACAACTCTGATGGGCTCAAAGAGTCGGACATGACTGGGTAACTAAGACACACACACACAAGGCTTAGCAATTAAAAACAAAGTCACCAATCATAAACAAAAAATGAAAAGAAATTCAGAAACACATACATTATCTGGGCACTAGGGCTGTGTTGTATCCCCTTTGACCTGGCCTGGTGTTCTCAAACAGTCATATATTGCGTTTACTCCAGAGGCTCCCTCATTTCCCTCTTTTCACCTCCTGTGTGTCACTCTTCACTTGCAAGGACATAGTCACTGAGGCTTAAGGTCACTTGGAAAAGCATACTTGAGTCATCCTCACTGCTGCAGTGGGTACTGGTGATGATGCTGGCTATACATTTATCAAAGAGAATAATAATCTCTTTGATTAATTCTGAAAGATATTGTTGTTTTTGTAGGTACAACACTATACACTTTTACATTGTATAGTTTCTCTCGTAAAGCCTCTGCACCTTTATTTACAGTGAGAGAAACAGAACCGAGGGTAGCTACATGATTTGCCCAAAACCACACAACAGGTCAGTGCCAAGTGCACAGCTCCACATCCACTGGTCTTGGTGGTCCACAACACTGCCCCTGCTAGGTAGTGACTGATTGCAATACCCATGCTGGCAGGATACAGCAGTCACTGTTGGCCTGTCATGAAAAAGCCAGACACAAAGGGAGGCTGTGAAATTGTTTAGTGAATTACAGATGGATCTGCATTTGAGTCTGGAACCCCACTAAGTCATTGACCTGGATGCCTCTGCGCTAGGTTGCAGGTGGATTTTCTGGCACCTCTGGGTATAGACTGCTGAACGGCATCTTCACTGAATCTGCCCACGAGCCTTAGTAGAAACTCACCTGCTATATAAACTCCTTTTGGGGTGGTGACTGTCTTCTCAACCAGGGTTCAGCTACTCATATACGGTAGCTTCTTTCGAAACCAGTTTGTCTCCACTGATAGATCTATTTTCCAGACTCTCCCATGGCCTTTTCACAGACCAAAGGCCCCTCATGAGTGACGCCTCTCAGCTTCTTCATTCTATTCTTATATTCTGTTGGCTCTGACATTCAGGTCTTGGATTTTCTTTCTTGGGTCGACAGTGGAAGAGCAGAGATGACCTGAAATTCAAGTCTGAGTGGAAGATGGGAGCTTCTTGAGAGGCACCTCTCTTTCCTCTCTGCACTTTCTGCTGTGTTCCTTTGAAATCTGGTACCTTCACTCACCTGATGAAATATCAGTTCAATCCACGTTGCTCAAACCCAAAGGGATAAAGACTAAATGGGCTATCTTGCTAAGGAACAGCTTCCGGGAATTTTACACTCTGTTTTATTACTTTGGGATGGAGAAGACAATGTCACCCCACTCCAGTGTTCTTGCCTGGAGAATCCCAGGGATTGAGGAGTCTGGTGGGCTGCCGTCTATGGGGTCACACGGAGTCGGACACGGCTGAAGTGGCTTAGCAGCAGCAGTAGCAGTTATTACTTTGGGGCATTTAAAACTGAGACCCAGAACCATAATTCCAGAGTAGTATGGCGTCCTGATCCAACCTCCTTCCTGGATGGATTGTGTAAGGAGGTAGTACTTCTACTTTTATAGAATTTTCCTGGAGGACACAGAACAAGCAGCAAGTCTTCCCATCTCAGGCTGGAGATCAGCAGTCATGATCTCTGGGCCTGGAGCCCCCAGTGAGTCAGGCCATTCTGCACAGAGCATACCATGCCTCTAGCTCCTATAGACTGTGAATCTTATTGCTCCCTGGGATGGGCAGAGATAACTGGGGCCCAAGGCACCCCTCACTGAAAGCTCTGCTTTATCTCTCACCAACTCCAACTTTACCAGACACAACTGTAAATGGCTTCTGGAAAAACAGCTTATAACCGAGAACACCGAATGGAGCCTCTTTAAAACCTGTGAGTGTTTACACTTTCCCTTCCCCCAAGCACCAATTCTCTCCACCCTGCTAGGTCCCACTGCCTCTTACTTGAATTGACTTCCTCTAAGCCTGGAGACTAAAAGTGGAAGCATTAACCCCTAAATCTCCCTTCTTCTCTATATGTGTGCATTTGAAGGCACATATAATAATGTGTGTTGCTGAGATTGTTTTTGTTCAGTTACTAAGATGGGTTTGACTCTTTGTGACCCCAAAGATTGCAGGACGCTAGGCTTCCCTGTCCTTCATTGTCTCCCCGAATTTGCTCAAATTCATGTCCACTGATCGTATGAATGTAACTTTATCTATATGCATGTACTTTATTGTTTGCCAGAGTATGTATATTTACAACTGAAGGGATATTTTGTGCAATGTGCAAGTGTGTTCATTCGTCATGTATATTGATGTGTATATCTGAGTGATAGTAATAAATACATATGTAAGAGAGTGGATTTTCTTGAGGATGTTTGTATGTGAAATTGTATATATGTGCAAGGACAAATAATTACTTGCATGAAGTATACATTTTAGTGTGATAACAGGCCTCTGTGAGGGCGAGTTCACTATACATGTGGAGAAAACAATATCACCTGCCATTTCAGTAAGAAAAGAATATTGCCTGCCATTAAGTCATCAAGCCACCAACCAGTGGGCTCTGGAAGGTATCCCCTTTCTACAACACCATTTCTTAGTTACAGGAAATAGTTCTTCATTCAGTATCCTTGACTCCCTGAATTCCAGTAAGTGGGTTCAACAGTTGCTAGCTAGGGAAGGGAGGTGATATAGAGACAA